ATATCTCGCAATTCTGACTTTATATCTCACAATTTTGACTTTATAACTCGCAATTGTGAGTTTATATCACGCAATTCTGAGAAAAAAAGTAAGAATTGTGAGAAAAAAGTCAGAATTGCGAGATATAAACTCGCAATTGCGAGAAAAAGTCAGAATTGCGAGTTTTTATCTCGCAATTGTGACTTTATATCTCGCAATTCTGACTTTATAACTCACAATTGTGAGTTTATATAACGCAATTCTGAGAAAAAAAGTAAGAATTGTGAGAAAAAAGTCAGAATTGCGAGATATAAACTCGCAATTGCGAGAAAAAAAAAGTCAGAATTGCAAGTTTTTATCTCGCAATTGTGAGTTTATATCACGCAATTCTCAGAATTATGAATAACCTATTTTTATTTTTTATTCAGTGGCGGAAACGGGCTTCCATATACTTGCTACCTAAAAATAAGTAAATGCATGATTAATTCACTGATAAATTTATCGCAAAGATTTACCGGCGCATTGAATTTGTTATATTAGACAGGAAAACGTCATAAGCAAATAAATACTTTTTCCTAAGAATAAAATTAAGCTGTTCTTAACGTATTTAAATGCAATTCTAAGCAATATAAATGAATGGACAATTTTTTCAAGAAAAAGAATATTCAAGAAAAAATTCTAGAATGTTCTAACAAATTTCTCTTCATTTTTGTGAATCCAGTCTCTGCTCTGTAAGTGTTGTTCATACAAATGGATTATTTCTTTGTAGTTGTGTTTTCTTTGTCAGTTGTAAACACATAGGGAACACAAACGTATTGCATGGTCTTTACCTTATGGTTTTTGCCGTGCCGATAGATCATCCAGTCCTCTCCATTAGTGCTGACTTCCAGTTTGAAGGTGGTGACGTAGTAGGACTTCTGGGTCTCCTTGGAAATGGCTCCTTGGGTAGCGATCCCGGTCAGTACCTTGAGGAAGTGAAGATCCACCTGGGAAAGGAGAGTGATTGATGAAAGTGGGAAACAGGGAACGATAACAATGCCTGACTGATCGGACCAAACTTAGTTTCTTTTGACAGCCGATCAATGAGGATTTCTGATATGAGTAATGAACAGTTCCTTTGCAGTTAATAAATCTATTTTGAACATGTGTATAGAAAACAAGTTTATTCCTCTAGTGATGCCATATCTGTGACTGAAAACCAAGGGTGCTATTTTAAAACCACAGTCATTTTACCACAGTAAACCTAACTTAGACTTAAACTTCACAATTCAGCATGAAACGCATCTACAGACATGAATGCCAGTGGCGGCAACAACAAAATGCAGAAATAATTACATTTATTTATGCTAATAATTATTATAAACAATTTCACCAAGTAATTTAGTGTGTTAGTCTAGCTTTAGGCTGTTTATGGTTGCAAAAACCTTGATATATTATTATTACACGTAAGTTACACTAATTCATGATTTATTGCATATGTCATATCGTTTTTTAAATTTATTGTATACACTACTATTTGGAATAATTTTAATAATTTTAATTTTAACTAATGCTCATCAAGTCTGTATTTATTTCATCAACAATACAGTACAATTATAATATTGTGAAATATTATTTCAATTTAAAATAACTGTTTTCTTTTTGAATATATATTAAAATGTAATATATTCCTGTGATACAAAGCTGAATTTTCTGCATCATTACTCCAGTCTTCAGTGTCACATGATCCTTCAGATATCATTCTAATATGCTGATTTGCTGCTCAAGAAACATTTCTGATTATTATTCATTTTGAAAGCAGTTATGCTGCTTTAATATATTTGTGAAAACTGTGCTTTTATACACACTACCGGTCAACAAATATTTTTGTTGAGTGATACTGTGTCATTTTATATAAAAAAAACTCAAGTTTGACACAGAACATTCAAGTAATTTGCAATAAAAGTAGAATTCAACAAAATGATGTATCACTGGTCTAATTAAAACTCCCTGACCTCTACACATGCTCAAATATAAGAAGGAATGCTATCCGGATCCTGAGCGTTTGGATGTAGGTGAGGGGTGTGGGGAGAGACGCTACGAACTCTGAAATCAATAGCACTGGAGAAGGTTGCTAACTACGGATTTCTCTAGACTGTCCTCATCCATCATCGAGCAGTTAGCATCACAGCAACCTTCCGTGCATCATCGGTCTGCACCAACACAACAAACGCAGCGCTCAAGCTGAGGGGCGTATGCTGACGTGCGAGATGGAGTGCTCTATTGAGGGTGTAGAAGGTTCTGGAAATGTAGTGGTGTGTAGGAATATACCACACGTGTGTGTGAGAGAGATTGAGAATCCCAGTGGATTAAAGGGAACAAATCAAGGACAGGGTAAATGGCTTTTTTAATGTGACGCAAATGAGGTTGTGAGGGACAGAATCGTTTAATATGTGTTAATATCTTAAAGTCAACAAATGCAACCCATTTTTCATTCATAACATGCCATATTTCTAGATGAAACTATGCTATACAGTTTGGGGCAGGTCTGATTTATTTATTTATTAATACAGTTATTTATTCATTATTATTTTTAAGAAATTGATATTTTTATTTAGCAAGGATGCACTCAATTGGTCAAAAGCATTTATAATGTTACAAAATATTATTTTTCAAATAATTGCTGTTCTTTAAGACCTTTTATTCATCGAAGGATTCTGGAAAAACAAAATATTACGGTTTCCACAAAAATATTTAGAAGCACAACTGTTTTCAACATTGATAATAATAGTAATGTTTTTGAGCAGCATATCATCATATTAGACTGATTTCTGAAGGATCATGTGACACTGAAGACTGGAGTAATGATGCTGAAAATTCAGCTTTGTATCACAAGAATTAATTACATTTTAAAATACATTAAAAACAGACAACAGTTCATTTAAATTGTAATAACATTTAACATTATTATTGTTTTTACAGTATTTTTGATCAGATAAATGCAGCACATGAGACTTTCAAAAACGTCTTACCTAGACATAACTTTTGAACGGTAGTGTATATTTGGATAAAAGATTACAAAAACAAACTTTCCTGTACAGTAAGACGGAAATGTGAATTACAAATAAATAAATAAATAAAATTACGGACTGACACTGAGGTATGCCTCATTAAAACCATTCAAACTGATGCAGCAAATTATGTAAAAATTAACTAATTATACAAATTTGTGCTGGTAATATTTTATGAATGATGCCAATTAAACAAATTACACTTCCATCACATCTCTTTTTTTTCCCGCAACAAATTAAACATTTAATTTAGTCAATAAATTGTACAAATGAAATGTTGCAGGAATGTCAAATGCACCAATAAGTTCTAGGCTACGTTTACACGACAACGATGTAGTCCAAAACGGAAAAGTTTTTCCCTTGCATTTTTAAAAAGTTTCACGGTTCCTTTGCAGTTTATAAATCTATTTTGAACATGTATATAGAAAACAAGTTTACTCTTCGTGATGCCGTATCTGTGACTAAAAAAACAAGGGTGCTATTTTAAAGCAATAACCCCCTCAACAGTGATTTTACCACAGTAAACCGTAGTTACCCATCATAATTCAGCATGAAACTTGAATTCAGCATTCAAGTAATTTGCAATAAAAGTAGAATTCAACAAAATGATGTATCACTGGTCTAATTAAAACTCCCTGACCTCTACACATGCTCAAATATAAGAAGGAATGCTATCCGGATCCTGAGCGTTTGGATGTAGGTGAGGGGTGTGGGGAGAGACGCTACGAACTCTGAAATCAATAGCACTGGAGAAGGTTGCTAACTACGGATTTCTCTAGACTGTCCTCATCCATCATCGAGCAGTTAGCATCACAGCAACCTTCCGTGCATCATCGGTCTGCACCAACACAACAAACGCAGCGCTCAAGCTGAGGGGCGTATGCTGACGTGCGAGATGGAGTGCTCTATTGAGGGTGTAGAAGGTTCTGGAAATGTAGTGGTGTGTAGGAATATACCACACGTGTGTGTGAGAGAGATTGAGAATCCCAGTGGATTAAAGGGAACAAATCAAGGACAGGGTAAATGGCTTTTTTAATGTGACGCAAATGAGGTTGTGAGGGACAGAATCGTTTAATATGTGTTAATATCTTAAAGTCAACAAATGCAACCCATTTTTCATTCATAACATGCCATATTTCTAGATGAAACTATGCTATACAGTTTGGGGCAGGTCTGATTTATTTATTTATTAATACAGTTATTTATTCATTATTATTTTTAAGAAATTGATATTTTTATTTAGCAAGGATGCACTCAATTGGTCAAAAGCATTTATAATGTTACAAAATATTATTTTTCAAATAATTGCTGTTCTTTAAGACCTTTTATTCATCGAAGGATTCTGGAAAAACAAAATATTACGGTTTCCACAAAAATATTTAGAAGCACAACTGTTTTCAACATTGATAATAATAGTAATGTTTTTGAGCAGCATATCATCATATTAGACTGATTTCTGAAGGATCATGTGACACTGAAGACTGGAGTAATGATGCTGAAAATTCAGCTTTGTATCACAAGAATTAATTACATTTTAAAATACATTAAAAACAGACAACAGTTCATTTAAATTGTAATAACATTTAACATTATTATTGTTTTTACAGTATTTTTGATCAGATAAATGCAGCACATGAGACTTTCAAAAACGTCTTACCTAGACATAACTTTTGAACGGTAGTGTATATTTGGATAAAAGATTACAAAAACAAACTTTCCTGTACAGTAAGACGGAAATGTGAATTACAAATAAATAAATAAATAAAATTACGGACTGACACTGAGGTATGCCTCATTAAAACCATTCAAACTGATGCAGCAAATTATGTAAAAATTAACTAATTATACAAATTTGTGCTGGTAATATTTTATGAATGATGCCAATTAAACAAATTACACTTCCATCACATCTCTTTTTTTTCCCGCAACAAATTAAACATTTAATTTAGTCAATAAATTGTACAAATGAAATGTTGCAGGAATGTCAAATGCACCAATAAGTTCTAGGCTACGTTTACACGACAACGATGTAGTCCAAAACGGAAAAGTTTTTCCCTTGCATTTTTAAAAAGTTTCACGTATACACGACAACGTTTTCAAAACGATTCGCATTTACACATATCCGCGAAAACGGCCAAAAATGCTGTATTACGTATGCCAGGCCAGTAGTTGGCGCTGTCACCTTGTTAGTAAACAGTACCTATTGCCGTGTATGTTTGTTCGCGCTTGCCTTTAAAATCGACACGTACTACGCATGTCTACATACTTAACACGTACTATGCACGCGCATGACGTCACCGTTTTCAAAGATTCCCGTTTTGGGTGTTTACACGGAAACAACAACGGTGGCGTTTTCAAAAACTTGCATTTTTTGAAACCCGTTTTCAAAAATATGCGTTTTCAGTCCCCAAAAAGCCGTCGTCGTGTAAACGAACAGGCAAAACGCATAAAAAGTTTCCTGTTTTTGGCTGAAAACGTTGTCGTGTAAACGGCCCCCTAGTGTGTGACTGGCTCACCTGTATGTATTCCTTGTTGCTGTCCTCAGCAGGTGTCCAAGCGTTGTCCTCGTTGTTCAGACGTGCCTGACGGGGCTGCCAGCGACCATCATAAAATGAGCTGGACGCCGAAATCTGATCATCAGAGATCTTACCAGACTCCATTCCAAATGCATTGCTACAGTGAAATGCTGAATAAGAGAGAAAGATATATTTTTAATATATTTATCTTTTTTCTGTATTTACATGTAATTGTTTCTTTTTTTAATTATTTAATTAATATTTTTAAATATATAAATAAAAATAAATGCATTTAACTTTGCATTTAACAGGTTGAACACTCCCCTGTCTGTCATTGGTCAACTAAACAGATAGTCCCACCTCCAAACACAAACCATTGGACTAATGTAGTTAAGTTAGGCTGGTAGGGACTCAAACAACTGAATAATGTTTTGCATCATAGTGTTTACTTTTTAGTTGCTGGGAGAGACAACTGACATGATCAGGAAATTATACACTTTACCTACAAAAATGATACTTACTCTCACTAATTTCCTTGCGAGTAATGTTATAGCGGGCAGAGAAACCATCTTTGGCCACAGCCATGTCAGTGTGGAAGGAAAGCGACAGAAGGCCTGTGGAAGACTGGATCTCTGGAGGGATTTTCGTCCCACAGTATCGTCCGATCAGAGGTCCCACTGAACACAAGAAAGGAGGGAAATGAGCTGATCAGAGATCAGTTAGAGAGGCTAGAAGCGGTTCTCAGTGTGAAGTGGATCTGCTGAGGCATCGCGTGCCTCAAATTCCCTCGGCTCCATGGATTACGAGCTTTCCTCACAGTATTCCTCTGATTTCTTTCCTACTTATCTCTGATTTACTGTCCTTCTCCTTTGCTCATGTGATCCCTGGAGGTCAGCACGACAAGAGCTGAGTTTGATCCCAGATTGATAGCGTGCGAGATGGGAAGCGAAGAAATTTGGCTTACTGTGCAAATGGTTGAGATGTTCACAATTCTATGAACACTATATCTTCTACACACTATATGTGCGACTTGATAAAAGATATGAGGGGAAAAAGGTAAGAAATCACACACTACAACTCAAAAGTTTGGAGGTGGTAACATTTTGAAATGAAAGTGTCTTATGCTCTTATGCTTACCAAGGCTGCATTTATTTGATTAAAAATACAGTAAAAACTATAATATTGTGAAATATTTTTACAATTTAAAATGACTATTTTCTGTATGAATATATTTTAAATGTTCATTTATTCCTGTGATGCAAGGCTGAATTTTTAGCATCATAACTCCAGTCTTCAGTGTCACATGATCCTTTAGAAATCATTCTATTATGCCGATTTGCTGTTTAAGAAACATTTATTATTATCAATATTGAAAACAGTTGTGCTGTTCAATAATTTTCTAGACAATGTGATACATTTTTTTCAGGGTTCACCGATGAATAGAATGTTCAAAAGAACTGCATTTATTCAAAATTGTAATCTTTTGTAACATTACTGTCATTTTAGATCGATTAAATGCACCCTTGCTGAATAAAAAAATAAATAAAAAATCATGCTGACCCCAAACTTTTGAACAGTAGTTTGTGTATGTATACAGTATATGACTAAAATACAGGCACTAACCTTGTGGCAGGCCATCCCAAACGTCCAGCCAGTCATACTTGCATTCTCCTTCCCCCATCAGCAAAGGGTCGTTTTCCAGGTCAAAGGTCAGGAAGGTGAGTGTGACCTCCGTCTGAGGAGGAGAGATGATGATGAAGGAGCACTCCAAATTATGAGGGTACTTGTCAGGGAAACCAGGAGACTCAATCACTCCGGTTGGAGCGCTGAAATTTCGGAAACAGTGTTCGGCTCCTGCAGAACAAACAGAAACACAAAAGAGAAACGTGGATTAAAATAACATGACACACTGTAATTAATTAGTGGCGCTTACAGTATAGTGGTAAGATTTAGATAGGAAGACAGACCCATTTTTTCTTCAGAAAATGTAATATATATATACATATATATATATATATATTCTGTATATTTTCAATATACATTAAAGTTTAATATATTGATTGTTAATATATAAGCAAATATGTTTGCGAAAGGGATCTTCAGCTTAGAAGCAATGAAAAAATTGAGTTTGTTAAATGAAGTAAGCAATTCCTCAACCACTCGTAAACCTTTTGAGATTGTCTGGTGAACGTGGCTGCTCTTGTTCAGTGGTGAGCTGCGGTGCTGTATTCTGTGCATGTGTTTCCCAGACACACTCGAGCGAGAGAATGTCATAAAATGAAAGCGTGGTTACTGATTCCTGGCCTCGGAGAGCTCTCGCACGCCCCTCTCCCCTCTAATTCACATTTCAAACTGCTGTTCAACCTCTCCACTCCCCTGCTCGCGATGCCACCGCGCTCGGCACGCCGTCTGAATGCAGAGCGGAAGAGACGCAGAGAAAACAAGCGTAAATATGAGGCGGAGGGAGACAAAGAGAGATTAAACTAAACAAACAAGACTAAGTGGGTGGCAGAAGATGGACGCACAGATTACGCACGGCGCTCACCTTGAGCAAATGTGTGGCCCATCATGCCTTGCTCTCAAACATGGTAGAAACAAACCTATACAAGGTGCTAACAGTACAATTTACCATAATAAAACGGCAGCTGTGGTTGCCGGAATTTTACCGTAAAAAATACGGTAGCAACATTTTAGGTTTTACGGTTTTAACTTAAATTTACTGTTAAATACTGTAATTTAATTAATTGATATAATGTTAATATACCAACCTATTGAAGTACTGAAATCTGTTTTGTACATTTGTAATACACTGATAACCACCAAATCCAGGTGGTGATGAGAAAGTCACATGACGAACCAAAGCCCATCAGAAGTATAATGATAGATAAATAAATTAATTAATTTCTATATGTTTTCAATTTTATATATACATAAATATACAAATACATTATTTATACATTTCAATTCATCATACATTTATCATATTTATATATTGCTTTTCAATTAATCATAGTAAAATAATATTATGCTACAATAAAATGATATTATACAACAAATATTAAAATAGTATATAATACATATTTATATAAAAATATATAATATTTATAAAATAAACACATAGATTATTGAAAATTATACATTATTATAAACTATAAATTTACATATGTTTTTTATTTATTAAAATTAAAATACAAATACTTTGTCAGTACTTTTAACATGTTTCAATAATACATATACTTGATTTTTATATTGTATATACATATACAATATTTTTACATATTTAATATTTATCGAATAAATAAAAGAAACATTATTAAAAATTCTAAATAAGTAAATAAATGTAAATATAAATATAAATAAATTAATAAATGATTGATTGAATGAATGAATGAATGAATGTGTGTGTTTATATTTGTTTATACATAAATATACAAATACATTACAAATATCAGTAATTATAATAATATAAGTATAATTATAATAGCATCTGTATTGTAATACAAAAAAATTATATAAATATATACACACTCAATATTTATATATAAATATTTAATATTTATCAAATAAATAAACTGAAAATTATTTAAAAATTCTAAATGTAAATATATATGTGTATTTATGTATATATGTGTTTGGGGTATTTTGAAGCTCAGTGGCCTGTCATCATTATATGGAAAAGAACAGCATGATTCTCCAGCCTAACATGTTCATTTGTGGTGTTCAGAGGGAACAACGTCCTGCAGGTTTGGAATTACATGAGGATGACATCATTTTTTGAGTAAATGATGACAGAATTGTCCTTTGTTAGTGGACTGTCCCTTTAAGAAGCTCTGAGACGGGCTCCGGTGTCTAACACAGCCACTACAATCAGATTTGTCTCAGTAAAACCATGTGCAAATTACTCGTGGTCTCTCTTGTTTGTTTCTCGCACCAGTGACACCATCTAACCAATGCTGTTTCCTCCACTGCAATGTTCCTTGTGGTAAACAGCCTGTGAGGAGGGCAGCAAATTACCCAGAATTCTATAAAAAGAAGAGACAGGCCTCATAGGTACTTGTGGAGGCTGTCAAGAGGTCAGTGTCTCGACATGCCTAATGAGGAGCATCGGACCTGTGCAACTCCAGGCCAAATGAACAGCAGGTTCCAGTATGTTTGTGACACTCAACACACATGTGAGTGAAGGTTGGTACCGCGGTAAATGTATGTGTTGGATACACATGCTCACTTGAGCACAGACAAAAACCCCAGGAAGCCACACAAGCAGGAGGAAAGAAAGCAAAAATGAGACGAGGTGCAGTGTAGCGCACATACAAACATCTACGCACATACAATTAATCATTTTGGTTTTACATTTTGGTAATATATAAGTCATATATAAGTAATATATAAGTTTAATATACGTTTTCTGACTGATCTGTCTAAATTTGGTTTAAATTAAATGTACTTTTACATATTATTATGATTTCATATTTTCATATATATTTGTACAATACAAAATGAACGATGTATTTATAGGATGTATAGGATGTACATTCTCTTTTTCACATAACTGTGTGTGTGTGAGTGTGCGTATATATATATATATACACACACACACACACAGTCATGTGAAAAAGAGAAAATACACCCTACTGAAGTCTGTGTCATTAATTATTTAGCAAAAATAAAGCCAATATGGAAAAGTCATGGGTGACCAACTAAGGACACCCTATGATTCAATTGCCTAAAGATCCACTTTTAGCAGCAATAACATGAAGTGATCATTTTCTGTAAGACTTTATCAGTGTCTCACATCGTTCTGGAGGAATTTTGGCCCACTCTTCTTTACTACGTTGCTCCAGTTTATTGAGGTTTGTGGGCGTTTGTTTATGCACAGCTCTTGCCACAGCATTTCAGTCCGGATGTGCTCTGGACTTTAACTGGACTTCTGCAACACCTTGATTCTTTTCTTTTTCAGCCGTTCTGATTTGCTGGTGTGCTTGGGATCAAGCTTTAGCTCTCAGATGGATGGCCTCACATTTGACTCTAGAATACTTTGGTATACTTTGGATGGCCTAGATTTTGCCATTTTTTATATTATAGTTTTAAATCAATATTTTGAACTATATTTGGTTCACAGTAATTATTTATTTTTGCTTTATATGACAGAAGAGACAGAAGAGACCATGGTGTTTGTTAAAGGTTTGTGTCTGTGTTTGTTCTAAATTAAGTTCTGGTTCTAGCAGTGGGTCGTCCCATCAAAGTCCGCTTATATTACTCCACTTGGCCGGCTGCCCCGCACACTCAAGCCTGCCATGCATACCGCCACTGCATGAGTGCATTGTGTGTGTGTAAAGCGCAGTCACGGGGAGCATGCATGCATGAGCGGCCACTCTTACTGCTTATTAGTTCATGCTTCTGAACACACCAAAAACAGTCTCTTCCTCCTCCTCCTCCTCCTCCTCCTCCTCGGGACATGCCTCCCGCTGCGGTGCAGTGTCTGCGGCCCGCCTGTCACTACAGTTGACTGTACGGTAATGGAGGAGGCGTGGCAATGAAAGGGTTAGTTGCTGGGCAGAAACTCATGTGGCGTGAGCCTCGTGCTCAAACGTGCGAGGGATTTTCCCCTTCTGTCGCTCGTTCAACTGACCTCTCGCGGGATGACAAAGTCTGTGTTCACTCATCGCATTATTCACGCGCTTTCACCAGTCGCTCGAGATCACCTTGATGTCAGTGAAACTCTGATGACGCTGCTTTCTGTCTTTCATTCATCCCAGGACTTCAATTCACAATAAAAATAACATGCATCCAACCGTTCAATTGAACGAATAAATGGAAAATTGCCATTCTGCTATGCAGAGTGAATGGCAGTGATTTTTTAACAAATAACAAATGGAACATCTTCCCAGATGATTGGTTATGGTTTATTATGGTCTGCAGTAGAGTTTTGTAAAATTAAATGGCTTTTTTAATAGATTGTCTGTGCTTACAATTAAAAAAGCGCTGCACAGGGCCTCTTATTAAGCTAGTTTAAGTTTCAAATCTGCTTTTGGGATCTACGTAAGAGATGGAAGAAGAATTGAGAACAGCACTTGAGTCAGTATTGAACATGATGTTTTACAGCTGCCACCAGTTCAGTATAGGCATCTGACACTATATACTGAACAAATATATAATTATTATCATACACTACCATTCAGAAGTTTGGGGTCCGTACTTTTTTCAAGAATTTTTTGTGCCATTAGGAAACTTTACTGTCAGTTTTGATCAATTTAATGCATCTTTGCTAAACAGAAGTATATATATAGAAGTATATACAGTATATATATATATATATATATATATATATATAT